CCCCACGCACCACCGACCGGTGGATCTTGGGGGGTGGGGGGCGGGCTAGCATATATATATATATATGTGTGCATGTATACATACGGATATCTGTATGCACATCTTGGTAAAGAGAAAATTTGAGATGCATGTATACAGCTTGTTGGATATCCGTATGTCTACGTAATATTGAATAAAAACCAAGGTGTCTATACACCTATGTACCTGATTTTGTACACTTTCAGAGTTAAGTTAAGTAGTTATATAGTATTCTCAAAAGCTAAATACTTGTAAAGCTTTTGTTTGTATAGTTGTTTATTCATAAATATACTTGGGTAAATTTTACATATATATATATATGCGTATTTTCGACTGTATGCTCATCTACTTCTTTGTTCGTTTACAGATATCATATATCCAAGGCACAAACAGTCCTGGACGGTATAGTGTCGCGCGGATTGCAAGACAGAGAGAGAACAACAAAAAAAAAAACATCCCAACAACAAGCCCAGAATCATGACGAGCTTTCCGTAATCGTCGATCATCAACTCCGTCTTCGTGAAGGCATTGCAAGTTTTGTAGACGTTGCACATCAGGCCACTATCGCATCCTCCACAGCGGTGACTCTTTCCTGGATGCAAGTTGCACTTGTCTAGGTCGTCCTTCGACAGTAGGAACCAGGGAATGCAGCAGTCCATAACCTCAAACTTGTCTCCATACTCCGACTTCTTGAAGTCCTGATCATCGTTGTGATCTGCTTACAGCACGAAGCTTGTGGTCCAGCAATACCTACTATTAACTGACAAATAATACTAGGTACCTCGAAGGTGGAAGGGTCCTTGACCTTCTTGAGCGGGTCTTTAGTGCGATCTTGAATTGTCTTGAAGGTGCTCGAAACGCTTTTTGCAAAGTCGCCGACTTTCGGAAAGCTGGCGAACCTGGTTGTGAGGGCTGTGGTGAGGGGGATTCTAGGAAACCTGAGAGCCTGACATCGGGAAGATATAACACACCGGGTGCAATGACTTGATGCACCATTTGGACAGTAGGTTTCGGTGTCGTAAAGCCAGAATTGGTGACGGGGAAGCTCCTTACGAGGATGTAAGGATACTTCTTTGGTTTGAGGCAGGTTACAAACTGCCAGTTTATCTTCGCAGCTCTGTAGACTCTCTGTAGACTGAAGACGTTGCATTACTCGCTCCCCTGTTTCACTAAACAAACCCTAATAGTAAAAAGCGCATTGAGGCGAATCCTCCCGAAATCATCCCTGCCCTTTAAACCTATTCCGAATTAGGGGGAGGGATTCGAGGCTTAAGAGCAAGAGCAAAAGCTGGAGTTAGAGCAAGAGAAGAAGCAAGAGCAAGAGCAAGAGTGGGAGCATCAGCAAGAGCAAAGCAAAGCAAGAGCGCGAGTAAGAGCAAGATCAGGAGCAAAAGCGGTTGCAATAGCAAGAGCAAAAGCAGGCGAAAGAGACGCCGCAGAAGCAGGAGCAAAAGCCAGCGCGGGAGCAAGAGCCAGAGCAGGAGCAAGAGCACGACCCCCCACAACCAAAAGTGGCAGTAGAGATAAACATACACCCCATTAATAAAGATGCTCTCCGAGTTTTTGTTGGTGGGGGGGGGCCCTTTAATATTCGGGAGAAACGACTACGTACTTGCACCAGGGAAGATGCTACTGATGCGATGAGGAGCTTGTCGGCCAAATTCTTAATGCTCCCAGATGTCGTGTGGATGGTGTTCAGGCTGTCGCGAACATTCACGTAGTGGGTCTTCGCTTCGCAGATCGGATTCCTGAGCACTCCGACGGCCACGATGCTGCTTTGCAATATGCGCAGGACAGCTTGAATCAGCTTGAACCTGATTGCAACGACCACCTTGCCCAACCCAAACACCACTGTTCAAACAGTCTCCGCCAACACCCTGGGCCTCTGAAACCCTCTCGGTTCGAGAGAAGCCGCTTCACGGCAGTCAATTGCTCATAGCAGTGGCTGAGTCGTTGCATCACCTGAGATGTAGCGTTGTCTAACGGTCTTGAGAGTCGTTACGGTTTGGGTTTCGGGCTTGGGAGTTTAGAGATTGGAATTGTTTTTCGGCTGAGGGCATTTAGGGTCTGGAATGGCCAGTAATAAACGCCCCCATCCTTGCGGGGTCTTTGTTTGAGCTCAAAGCATTTGACAGATGAACGCTTTAAAGAGTATGGGGCCCACTGGAGCACAACATAGGAGCAAAACATAGGATCCCGAACCGTGGCGAAATATGTTCATGCTGTGATCAAAGAGATTGGACCAACATCTTGCAATCCTTAGGCCAACACGTGGCAACCAATTCGTTTTCGCAAAGCTGAGTCTCAGCGCCATCTCAGCGCCATCAGGTTTAAGGAAACAGACCGGCTTTGCAAAGGACTTCGAAAAAAAGTACGACTACGCAGATGCAAGTAAACCTAAAACTAAGCAAAAAGATTGCTTGCGAAGTCAGGATTGCGCCAATCATCGAGTCGATGGCATCGACGCACGGTCCGTCCTCCCAAGACAGTCGTGGTTTCGAGGGCATGTATTTTAGAATTTGGGCGGTTCAAGGAGCAGGACATATGGCTACGGGAAAATCTAGAAGTGCTGCTTCGCAGCTCTCTACAACTCTCTATAATTACAGTATTCAGGACGGCATAGGGCACGATGCGCAAGATCGAGGCTAATGTTCCTGAGCGCCTGGTGGCAAGCTCGGTTGAGCCGACATGCTCCCACCCAACCCTGCCATAAGAGAACTCAGACCATGAACTTGACGCAGCAAGGGTGCTTTGCCTTTTGCAAGGGTGCCCCTTTAAACCACATGCTCGCCTTACACACATCAAGGTGTCGCCGGGGCGCGAGCACAGCTGATGCCCTCAAACCTTTCTCCACCACCATCTGCCAACACCCCTGACCTCCCAAATTCCGGACCCTGAACCCCGTTGCGGCGGTACAAGCTGAGCCCGTGGCGTTGTCACTCTAAGTCTCTGTGGTTGCACGGACCCTCAAAGTTCCGACAGCGTGCCAGCCGCGACCCGAGCCTCGAGGGCACAACCTCGCAAATCTGATCCTTGACCTACCCTTTCTCGAAACCCACATCTGCAACCTCTACATTGAAGCACCTGTATGAGAACTATTGAGGCGCACTTTTCACTCTGCAGGCCGTCGTATTCACGATGCAGTGTCTCCTGCTCGTTCAGCCATGTCTTGATGAAGGTCTTGGCATAAGCCCTCGCCTCGGAACACACGCCTTTGACTCGAAGGCACGCGGTGCGGAGGACACCGGTACCCTGTATGGTGTCACACGACCGCTGGAAGTTCAGGAATCTAGCGTCCGAGTCGCCGCTTTCTTCGCCGCGATGTTAGCCGTGTCCTTGAACTTCCCTTGCAGCACCTGGCGGTCGCTTGCATCGAACTGAATCCTACAGGATAGCTGCCGCCGAAGCACTCTGTTGAATGTGGGCAGGTCCAATGTGCCTCGGTCCGGGGGGATTGTGACGGACTCATACTGCACATCACGCAATCAAGCCCACAAGCCGCGTGTGATGCGTCGAACGGTAGGAGCAGGTCTTTTGCAAGCTTGCCTTTGCACACCAGGATTTTAACAATCCTTCTCTTATACAGACCTGTGAACAGGAGAGCTGCAGCAAGAAGCTCCTTCCAAGCTGCGGTTTGACGAGTTTCCGCACGCTTGTTTATGGGTCTCCACGTACTCGCCATCGTCCTCCTGTAGCCTAGCAGCAATAGCATCTGCAGCGAATTGCGGGATGTGATGTTGAGGGCTCGGAGTCTGAGTTGAAGGTTGCCGGAGTCTGCATTCCAAGAAGCACGGTTCCGGGATGTTGTGGGTTCTTACTCGCCCTCAGTAAACTCGAGTGCTCGAGTAGATGCATCACCTGCGGACTTCGGCGCATGTAGTATGTGGAAGCGCCAGGGACAGAGTTAGCAGGCTTCTATGCACACACACATATATATATATATCTATATATCTATACACATGTACATATATGTAAGTTATATTATATTATATTATACTATACTATACTATACTATACTATATTTCATTACATTATATTATATTACATTATATTATATTGTATTATATTATATATACGTACAAATGCGTATGTACTTTAAACAAGTTGTCCCCAGTACCCAACTTGCACTCGTAAGTGAACCTTTAGTTCCCTCTTCACGCTCCAGGTGCCGGTGCAGCAATTGAAGCAGTTCGTGCAACAAGTTGATGTCTTAAGGGGAGCCCAGAGTGCAAGCCATTCGATTCACGAAGTTTTCACGATCGTGCTCACTTCTCGAAACAGTTCAGAGCGGAGGAGCAGACTCGTCGCCGCGACGACAGCGGGATCGCTGTGAAGCACACCTCTGTGGACTTAGGTTTGCACCCTGTTCGCCTCCAAATGTTGCCGAAGAGTCCAGGCTTCAAGTTGCAAGGTTTCCCCATCCGCCTCACATGTTGCAGTCTAGCCACAACAATAGCACTGCTTAAAGAGATTGAGCGCCTTGGGCAGCCGCGCGAAAAAAAAATCCCATTAACCTCCCCAGCAGCGGCAAGGCTGTCGTTGGGCCCACATTATGGGGAACCAAGAAAGCTGACAAAGCTGTAGATGGGTTGTCCATGCCCGGCATTGAGCAGTAGGCTTCGGAAAATGCTTGTGGGTTTGCGTGAATCTCCGGGAGCTCAATTTGAGCAGTTTATGGGTTCTCGCCGAAGCAGGACCAATTCAAGCGTGCTCGGGTATGGGGATGGCATTGAACAGCAGCTTTGAGGAAACTGAGGCCGAGTGCGTTTAGCAAACCTTCGAAGATGCACTTAGGCTTGTTCGGAGCTCCGAGAACTGAAGTTGAGCAGTTTATGAGTGGCTGAATTTTCGGGTGTAGGGAGGGTATTGAGCACCAGATTTGTTGAAACTAGGGCCGACGGCGTTTAGCAGGCCTTGGAATGCATTTGGGCTTGGTCGGGGGCTTCGTGGGGCCAGGGACACCAGCAAAGCTGAAACAGCTCTACAAGTGTTTTCCAAGCCTGGAAAGATGCATTCTGGCTTTGGCTGGAGCCCTGGAAGCTCAATTAACGCTTTTTCGGGTGGGGGAGGGACGGCATTGAACACCAGATTTGAAACCAGCGGCTAATGCATTCAGCAGGCTTTGGAGCATGCATTTTGGCTTGGTCGGAAGCGTCGGGAGCTCACTTTGAGCAGTTTGTGGGTGGCTGCACTTTCGGGTGTGGCAAACCTTACAAGTATTTCGGACGACCTTTGAAAACAAGAAATCGACGGTATCCTGACCTCGGAGTGCCAATTTCTTACTTTGCTCCGCTCCAGCAAACACCGAATTAAGACACTAAAGGGCTGGATTTGGTATTCCAGCGCGATGCACAGGAAAACCACACTGGGGATTGAGGACTCCAGGGAGGCCATGCCTGGTCAACCTCGCGAATGCCACCGGCTCAGAGAGTGTCCCCATGCAAATGTTTATTCATGAGCCGTAATTTTGCTGGGCTGATTCTGGAGCCCGGCCTTTGAAAGAAACGTCGCTTGGTTCGTAAACGTTTTGATGAAAACACGCGCGCTTCAAACTAAACAAATGCATGGAGGCTTACCCTCAACTAAACAACTGTTTCTTCAGCGGTGTCGCACATTGCACTCCGCCCTCGATTCTCTCTCCGAGGCCAGGTACGATCTTGTCCTTGTGACCTGGTGCATACAGCCTCTCTCCACAAGGACAGGCGAATCGTGCGGTCTCAAACCAAGCTCTCAAATGCAACTGTGTGCCGGCCAAGGGCTTGGTGCATCCACCAGTGTGACGCTTTTTTCTCGAGGCACATTTCTCTGCAGTGTACCCGGCACTTCTTGACATCAGCTTCACTTGGAGAAAACATGGAGAAAGAACTGCGGGTGGCCAGTACGGAATTTGACTTACCACGGTCGCATGTCAATGGGTTAGTACTTGCAAGCCAACCTTGTCGGGGTGTGTTTCTAACAGCACTGCGTCTTGGCCAGTTGCGGCTGTGACATTCACCAACCTGCAAGGTGACTTCACGAACCGGACATCCTATATACCACCCAAACCGAGACTCTAATGCCTAAGCCTCATTGCGCTTAACCCGGAACTTCCTGGTAGTGGTCATAGTAAAGCTAGTGCAGACTACGCTATCCCTTGAAACCTTCCTCCATTCAGGCTGGAGCCCCGACATTGGTTGAATTTCAGGGGCACGGGGTTGACATTTACGAAGCGCTTGGTGGCTGGAGCTGTTGGGTTGGGAAGGCTTTCTGAGGTCTGGCGAGACTCCATCATCTTTCGCCTCATCTACCACGGGGACCTCCTCCGGCTCGTCATCCGAGTCGATATCCTGCCGGCCAATTGTCTCAGCACCGTCTTGGTAGCATTGCTATGATATGCGGTGCTTTTTGTCGGTGCTGTTGCCGTTGCTGCTGCTCCTGCCTGCCACCGGCTGCGGCTGCTGCAATGATCATTGTCGCGTTCACGACAAAGCTCTAGACCGCAGTCCGAAAACATGAGTGTGATATCGGAAAGGATGTGAAGTCTGCACCCCAACGCTTGACAATCGCACCTCTGAACCGAGAACGCTCTATCCTCCATGCTTCAAGCTTCACTTTGCCGTCCTCGCGCAGATATGGGATCAATCCGACTCCTGCGTGCTTCGTTCTGAAAGTGTCCTTTGGGGTCCGTCTTGGGATCTCAACTTCTGGAGCTCAGCCCAGCGCCACAGCTACGGGGAACACTGAGTAAGAAACCAGGATTCATACTACGGTTTATTCAGGACCCTACTAAGAACAAGCAGTGCCACATCCGGACTAAACTGTGTAGACCTTAGGAAGAGCAACATGCCTCACATTCCAACGTTGGCCTCAGAACAAACCCAATCTCCGAACATACAAACTTTTTCGAATGAAATGCTTCAGCCTTCAGCCTCACCGAACCGACCGAGAAATACCGAGAAACTCACCACCGAGGGGCGCTTGACTGCCGCGTCCCAAGCCCTTTGGAAACCAGCAGGGAACCTGGGATGGGCTCAGGGGCTAGCAATACCAAAATTCATACGCACGCACATCGATATCTAATGATATCTATATATATATATAGAACCCCCCTCTAAAACCCCACGTTCAGCAGAAACACAGCATCATACATGGCAACGATTGCAAATGCATAATCATGAAACGCAATATTTTTTCTTCGCCACAACAGATACCTGATCGTGTCTTCCTCTTAGAAGATTGAACATGCTGCCTTTTCGAGGCCCTAATCAAGTTCGAAGTTGAACATGTCTTCAGCTGTCGGAGGCGCCTCATCATTATTCCTTACTGAACAGTATGACTCCGAACAGAGGATGAGACTGTAGGCTCATAGCAATAGAGAAAATAAAAGCAGACAGCTCGTAAATCCGCTCCCATATTCGGCGTGATCTTGAAGAAAATGTCACGAACTCGGTAAACAATGGATCCTCAACTGAATCGATGCATAGCACAGCACACTAGTCCGGATTTGGTCTGATAACATCAACTAATATTCCAGCAGGGAAGAACAAGAAAGTATGATACACTGAGTAGTGCATCCATCTGGAAGTGTGCCAACACGGCGAGGCAATTTGGCGGGCGCCGCTGGCACAGGGGCCCAGCAGGATCGATTGCGTACTCAAAGATCAGGGCAGCAATCTCCGCTGGAACTCTGCCGACAAAGGAAGCCGACATGTTGCACGCGGTGGCCGGGATGGCTAGTTTAACTAGTTGACAGTATACTGCGGAAGAAGCAGTGTGTTGGAACATATTTTCTCCGTTTGCTGATTTCGTGTACGCGACTCTCGAAGTAATCCAAGAACAGGATATGCATGGGTGTGCGGTGGAGCGAAGCTCGCGAGGCAATCATGAGCATACCCCGTTCCGGTTGTCGCTCTTTTTGATACACAGGCGCATGAATCGAACTGTTGTGTGCTTACGACACAGCAATGTACGCGAAACAATGGCAGTTATCAGTCCTGCAGTGCATAAACAA